GTAATTAAAGTTTATGCCAATCTGAAACTGTGACATTTTATTCGTTTAGTAGTACATAAGATGTAAATANAGAAAATCAAGAAGGAAATTCTCTCCCAAATCATCAATTTGAACCATAAGTCACTTTTTTTTTTATGAAGGTGTGTCGGTGTCAGGTTACGCATATCTTGACTATTTTACTGGATATCTTCATCTTTCATTAGCACAAGCATCAAATAACTCTGCCCATTAATGCGTAGGCAGATAGAAAAAAATTACCTAATATTTTTTTTTATATTTCAACGAAGCTCGAAATTGTATTAATTGGAAAAAGAAAAAAAAAACAAGTAAAGAAATAGTTAGTCAGTTAGCCTATAACAGCAAAGACTGTCTAGTATTTTCAGGACAGTTCCTATTGAATTTTTATATACATGCATTTGTCCTGAGTACAACTTTTTTGAATCTATATATAATAAAAATGGAATGGCATCTTGTAGTTTTTTATTTTTTATTTTTTATTTTTTATTTTTATTTTCTTTTTTGTCTTTTTTTTGGTTTTGGATCTATTGATATGCCAAGAAAAATGTACAGATACATGCATATAAAGACAACTCTTTTACAAACCCTACATGTTCTCTTGCCAGAAAATGTTGCTTTCACATGGTAGATTTATGCCTTCCAAAGACCATTTACTATATTAATGAGTTATTTTGTCCTTTTATTTATTTTGTTACGTATATATATTATATGTTGAATTTTTTTGACTTTTTTTTTAATTTTTATATTTTGAATTTCTTAGTAAAAAATTCTGACTTTGTTACTGCTCTCCACCTTAAAGAGGTCTATGGTTGCAGAATTGAGAACGAAAAACCTAGTGATAGGAAGTAGGGGCGAAGCTATGTGTGGCCAAGGATAGTCTATTAAATACCCTTTGTCGAAAAATTATACTGTGTATAAAATAAAATAATACTTATTATTGATCAAAAAATAAATTTTGAACACTCTTGCATAACGGTGTTTAAGTTTCGGACACTAATATTCCATTTTTTGGCTTCCCAATGAATAGAAAAAGCTTGTATCTTCTTAGTGGGACTAGGAGCCCGTTTGGATGGACTTGTTTTAAGTGACTTCTAGTCCATCATACTTTTTTATTAGCAAATTATCTAGTATTAATCCTTGCAAACAAAGCTCCAACATGAAATGAGTGAACTCCAAGTGTCCAAATATTTCAAGAAAAAAGGTCTAAATTAACGACTCAACTTTTAATTATAATCTAAAATTATCCTCAAGTTAGTTGAGCTCCATTAGAGATCAAGAGCAAAAACAAGTCTTTGCCTACCGGTGAAAGTAAAATTATACCAAGATTTTAGTAAAAATAGCACGGGCTAGCTAGATCGAACTGGTAATTAAAAATAGCAGTGTTTGTAAAGTCATTGAAAAATAGTCACTATTTGGCTGAAACATGAAAAGTTCTAGCATAATATGCGGATATGAAGCTCATGCGTATACACTTCGAGAGGCGTATCTAAGTCTTAAGGTATGGATTCACGTGAACCCATACTCCTTTCCCTAAACCATGTATAATAATGTTATATTTCTTGAGAATTACTTAATTATATGTGTGTGAACTCATACTCAAAGACTCCTATGGTGCAATAATCATTGGGTGCACCTCTACGAGTGAAATTGGTGGTTCAAATCCTACTTCGGACGGTCTTGTTTTTGGCACGGAGTATAGATATATATGTAAAAATTACTAAAAAATTTAAAAAAATATACTTTTGAACATATAACTTCAAAAGTGTAATGGGTACATGGTAGATACTAAAGTTAAACTCGTCAAATATAAATTCTAAATTCGCATCTTCACAATAGTGCCCCCATCCTCTTGAAATCCTGGATCCGCCTCTGTACATTTCCATCATATTATGTTAGAACTCCAACACACGGAAAGTTCCAGCATAATATGCTTTATTATGGAGCTCCAGCATATTATGCTGGAAGCTCATATGTAAAAATTCGAACTCCAGCATATTATAATGGAATATTTCTGGATTTTTAAGAGTATTTTTATTCAGATTTTATTTTTACATGAAAAAGTGGCTAAATTTCGATTATTTTTCAATTACCAGTTATAAATCTGGCTATTTTTATTTTTTTCCCAAGATTTTATTAGAGGGAAAACTTAATTTCAAATCGTGCATTGACACAAACTCTATCCATAGTCAATTACAATTAGTATTATTGTTGAAACTCTTGACAACACTTATGACCTTGTGGGAAAAATGATTAGGAATTATTCAAAAATTGGAAACGTGCTACGTTTGCTCCTTAAATTCAAGTCTTCTCTTTTGATTATGTCAAAAAAAAAAAAAATAGTTTGTGGAAAAGAATATCACAAAAAAATCTGAATATAAAGGACTGAACATTATTGTTGCTCATAAGCTAATAATCATTTTAGTGAACACATTTTAAATGTCTACTCATTGACATGATCCCTCCCTTATTGACACATTTTTTCTAGAAATATTTTTTCGAAAATAAGATGATTTTCAAAAATACTTTTCGGAAAATGTTTACCATATATCGGATTACCAAAGGTGGGATAAAGTATGATAAGGTCTGAGATTAAATTTATATTGTGTTTGATTGACGGTATAAATATATCCAGGATAAATTTATACCGTTAACCAAACATAATATAAATTTAATCCAGACTTAATCTTGAATTTTCCATCTTATTCTACCTTATCATATTAAATTTGAAATTATTTTATCCCACTTTTTAGGTGGATAAATTAATCTAGAAATTATAATCTCATGACTATAATTCCGGGATAATTTAGTTTGCGTACCAAACGACCCCGTAAAGTAAAGTAGAACACTCTATCAAGGAACCAAATGTTTATAAGATGCCAAAACATATCACAAAATTTGGCTACGTTATAGAACCATTGTTGGTCAAACAAACAAATTGTTGGTCAAATTTTACAGAACTGTCTTGTATTTTTAGGACAGTTTCCTATTGCACATTTCTATTATATGTCTCTAGCACTAAATTTTATTCATATAATATGATAGGAAAGATTTCTTGTAGTTTTTTTTCGTTTTTATTTGTGATGGTAAAAGTAGAAATAGTAGTGAAAACGAGGATTCTAGTAATTAGCTGAATTCACACGAAGGACAGTGATTTAACTATAAGAGAAAGTTTTAAAAATATCGAGATAAC